CATGGGCTCGCCTGAGTTGTGAAGGACTCCAGGTTCCGCCATTCGACGGCTGAGAATTTAACTTCAACACACGATGCTTTGGAGGTTGCTGTTCTTTGTGTAACGCGTGGCATCTGCAGAGGGAGCCGCGTCTCTCCCAATCACAGTCGAGCAAACTGCTGACCTGTCACATTGTGGATGCGAGCTAGTTGCCCAGGCCTTCTTCCTTTGCTGCTCGCAGGGAAACGCTGCGCAGCATTGCCGTTGGCGTTGCCGGCGTTGGCTGTTGCGCACCAAGTAGCGCTACCTACATAATACTAACAGTAGGGGGGTGCGTATTGCTCTTTTGTGTCTCCTAAACCTGCACTTAGAGTAAACCTAGCAAAATGTCGATCGCAGGTGGAGCGACGGCGCTCGGCGCTAAGGCCACGTTTGTGAATCCCGCGTCCCTTGTAAACAGCGCTGCTTCCAACCACTTGGCCCACACACCTGCTGCGGCGGCCCTGCCCCATGCCCTTACACGCACAAACAGTCTCGGGTCCGGTTCTTTGTTTGCAAGCCTGTCTCTGGATGGCTCTCCGAGCAGCTCGTACTCCGGCCAGAAGCTCAGCGGAGCGACTCAAAAAGAAATAAAGCAAAGTCGGAAGAGGCAGGGTGGCGCGCTGAATACGACCGCAGCATTCGGCAACGTCTTGGGAGGCTTGTTTGGGGGTTCAAAGGGCGACGATGGGTCAGCGACAGCGAAAAAGTATGCGTCAAATGTTGAGAAAATCAACGGGCTTGAGGCGAGAATGCAGGCGCTGAGCGACGAGGAGTTGCGGCAATGGACAACGGAACTGCAGCGGAGGGTCCGGGGCGGGGAAAGTTTAGATATTGTGCTGCCCGTGGCATTCGCAGTGGTTAGGGAAGCGTCTAAGCGGGTGCTGGGGCTCCGGCCTTTTGACGTGCAACTGATTGGTGAGTCGGCGCATCTGCTCTTTCAAATGGGCTGCCCACCTTAATTCGAGAATTGAAGCAGCCCTAAAAGCCCTAAAAGTGGCCCTTGCTGAATGACATTGGGTTCCTTAGAATAAGGGCGGAGCGGTTTCAGAAAGTTCTTCCTGAGTCCTGTATATGGACGTTTTTAGACATTGGTCACATTGTTCTTTGCCTCTGCAAAATCTGTGGCAAGGTAGTGTTGTTTCCGAAGTGGGTAGGTCAGCCGTCATTAGGTGGCCATATTGTGGTGGCATACTTTCGAACTTTCTTAAAAGTCCACGTTCAGGTTCAGCGGATAGGATTGATAAAACTTTTGCAAGACTAGTGTCGGTCGAAAATGTCGTCCACCAAGTCAAGCACTTCGGCTAGCACCATGCATAATCCTCTCTGCGTGAATGGGGAAATGATTTTGTCTGATGTCGGGCCGATTTCAGAGGGCGGTTTGGTACGCGCCATCTGCTCGCACATAAATGTCTCGCAAACAGTCATCAATGTTCCTATGCCAGGTGGTATGGTGTTGCACAAGGGCGAGATTGCGGAGATGCGGACGGGGGAGGGCAAGACGTTGGTGGCCGTGCTGCCCGCGTTTCTGAACGCACTGTCTGGAAAGAGCGTGCACGTTGTCACGGTCAATGATTATCTGGCACGGCGTGATTGCGAGTGGGTGGGCCAGGTGCACCGCTTCCTGGGCCTCAAGGTGCGTGCCCGCTGTAGAGGATATCCTTCTTTGTTCGTTCGCTGTGTTTTGTTGGCGCCTGACTGCAGTTTGAAGCAGCGGTGAGGACGCTTTGCTGTTGTTGAGATCCAGGCAATTACGGCATTCGACTGTCAAACTTTGTGTTTAGTAGGAGTGCGTTCGGTCGCAAGCAGCCGGGCGGAATTCCCTATGGTCTGGGCTACGTTTCTTCACTCAGCAAGGGGCAGGTCTCTTGAATCTTATGGGTCAGGAGAGATCAAGGAAGTAACAGAGCACTCCATGCTCTTAGATACAACTTGAAAGAGCATATAAAAGTACAAGCATTGGACTCGTGCTAAGGGTATAGTTCTGTTGGATATTGTGAAAGGCTGGTGAAGGCTGGTGTGATGCTTGTTTCCCTGGGCAGCTTGTTGCCCAAGTCCGACTACTGCTTTGAGGGCTATTTCGTGCCTCACCCGAAACTGTCAATTCCTTCACCGAATACTGCCATATTTGCCATATCAGAAAACCCGTTTTTAAAGCATGCTTTGCAAGCGTTTTGACCGCAATAGTACCACAAGGCCATCCTCCAACTTGTGCATCTTTTGTGTGCTGAATTTCAAAGGTCTATATTACAGCTTTCTTTTCACCCCTGGCGTATCCCTGCTCCAGTAATGACTTTGTCACAACTTTGGGGAGTCAAGAGTTCCGTCAGCGGTTGGTTCGGCATCATTATATTTTTAAAGGTTCTCTGTTACAACAGGCAGAGACCAAGATGGTTAGAAGAAAGGCAAAGCGAAAGGAGGGCTCAATGGGAGGGCATGTTCCGACGCTTTCTCATTTCTTTCTGCAGGTGGGCCTCATCCAAGCTGGCATGACCTCCGAGCAGCGGCGGGAGAGCTACGCCGCTGACATCACATATGTGACCAATAGCGAGCTTGGGTTTGACTATCTTAGGGACAACATTGCAGGGGTGAGCATCTCGTTGAGTGGTTGGGATTGAGTGTTTTGACATACTCGGAAAAGGTCTGACAGAAAGCTGTTATTGGATAGACGGAAATGTTCTGTGCACGCTTTGGAATATTGAAGACGCTTTTGCCAGACTGGAAGTAGAGCTATCTGTTGGTGCATCTGCTTTTCCGCCAGTTCATGTCTTGGCTTGTAATGGTACAGTGCGGCTCTGCTGCCCAAACGTCTGACCTTGGCTTACGTCTCTCTTAACCAACACCTTTCCAGCTTACACAACGGATTCTCCTCATAACACCTTTCTTGACTGTCTGTCGACCTCGGCCTTCGTTCTACTATCCTGAAAGTCCCCTCTGCACGGACTTGCGTCCTCATGTTCTTCCTCCCTGAATCACACTCTTCTTGCCTAATTTCCCCCACCTCGCTCGTTGCTTCAGGCGAGAGAGGACCTAGTGCTGCAGCGCGAGTTCAGCTACTGTATCATTGACGAGGTCGACTCCATTCTCATCGACGAGGCGCGCACGCCGCTCATCATCTCCGGGGAGAGCGACAAGCCGGGGAAGAAGTACGAGATGGCCGCAAAGATTGCATCCATTTTCGAGCGGGACTTCCATTACACCGTCGACGAGAAGGCCAAGTCGGTCGTGCTCCAGGAGAAGGGCTACGAAGACGCGGAGGCAGCGCTTGCGGTGAGTATCTGTTTGCTTATCAAGACAGGGACAGTCCGACAAGAGGTTTGCAGAAATTTGGATGACACATGGGATTGGTTGCGGTAGCCTTCCGCTTCAGTGGATTGTTAGGGAGTTGGAGAGGCGGTAGCAAATCGGCGTTTAAATGCTGGGTTTTCTTGATCAACACCTGGGCTGTAGGAAACGCCGAATCTCCTCGGGTGATTGGGGTTCCTGACGTCTTCCACAAACGAGCTCCTGTCGGGAAGACGACAACAGTTGTCAGGTTTGCCCCAATCAACGACACAGCATCCAGACATGACGCGGAGAGTGTTTGAGAAAACAGACGTCATCTAATCTCACTCTTTGTGCTTCATGCGGCAAAATGGGCACAACAAAATTCCTGCAAGCGTCTGCACGCAGTCCGGACAAGAGCCTTCTCATTCCTCTTTCTCAGGTCAAGGACCTTTACGACCCGCGCGAGCAGTGGGCGTCGTACATTCTGAATGCGATCAAGGCCAAGGAGCTGTTCCTGCGGGACGTCAACTACATCGTGAAGAACGGCGAGATCTACATTGTAGACGAGTTCACCGGCAGAGTCATGGAGGTACGTGGCAAGTCTGCGTCGCTCAGCGAAGACAAGACATCAGATGTTTTCTTGAAGAAGAAGAATGCCTTGATACGACAGTATTTTCCCCGTCGAAGAATGACGGGGTTCAGGAGACTGAGTGGAAAGCCGGTACATGTGTCGAGTTCAAAGCGGGGCAATCAAGGAATTCAAGGGCAGAGTTTTTAGCAATGTAGCATACCAAGGCACCGCCGAAGTAACCTGAGCCCGGAATGTGCCTGAGTTTTCAATTAAGACACTTATAGGAATTATATAGAGATGAACATGAAAAATAGACTGACCGAATTAGTATACACGATATCGTTAGTATTCTCTGCTCTCCGCCTGTCAAACGATGCGGACCTGTGTCGGAGGGCTATGATTGCATTTCTAAGCATCGGTCACTGATGCTTGTGACTGCAGGGACGGGTCAAAGCTTCCGCCAGTGGGCTTGGTTGCTTCATCAGACAACTGCACCTCAGCTTCCTTCACACCCTGCACAGGCAGCCTACATCACAAGTCTTAGCTGCGGATTAGCTTCGAGAAGGCTCAGTTCTAATCCGTCTCCCGTCTGTACAGGGTCGGCGGTGGAGCGAGGGGCTGCACCAGGCGGTGGAGGCGAAGGAGGGGCTGGAGGTGCGCAACGAGACGGTGACGCTGGCGAGCATCAGCTACCAGAACTTCTTCCTGCAGTACCCCAAGATCTGCGGCATGACCGGCACCGCCGCCACTGAGGCCAACGAGTTCAAGAACATCTACAAGCTCGACGTCACGTGCATCCCCACCAATCGGCCCATGGTCAGAAAGGTGAGGCGCGGCGCGGGAGACGCTCCGGGGGGAGTGGAAAAGTGGCCCCACAAACGCTTTATCGCCGCTTTCTCTTTGACTGCTCTCCTCACGGCCAAGTTTGTTTTTCCCCTTGATGTGAATTTTCCATGCAGGTTCCTTTCAGTAATGCACGTCAGCTGATCGTGGCAATCGGTTTTGCTTGTCATCCTGGAAGGATACTCAACAGGATTTTCCGCAGAGTAGGATACCCATCTAGTCAACTACTTAACGCCCCCCGCTCCGTAACTTTCACCTCAACGTCTCATGAACCTCCTTTGAAGATTGCTACTACACCCGCGGTCACTGACAGCAAGTCAGACATGGGCGTCGTTAACCCCTTCACTAAACCTCTCCCTTATCCCTCTCGAAACCTGTTTTCAGGACGAGAGCGACGTGGTGTTCCGTAGCGTGGACGGCAAGTGGCGCGCTGCGGTGGTGGAGGTTGTGCGCATCCACAAGCAGGGCCGCCCCGTGCTGGTCGGCACCACCTCCGTCGAACAGTCGGAGCTCATCTCGGAGAAGCTCACAGAGGCCGGCATTAAGCACTCGGTACGTTTCCTTGCGGCATCTTCCCTTGAATTGAGCCTTTGGGGCAGTTTTCTTGCTTCAGTGTAAGTTTTGAGATAACATGCTGATCGAGCAATCGGAGCTCATCTTCGAGAAGCTCACAGAGGCCGGCATCAAGCACTCGGTGCGCTTACCGTCGGCTCTCTACCTGACTTCGATGTTCTTCTTTGGCAGCTCGTTTTTTAATCAACAAGTTGACCTACTCCCTTCGTGAATGAGAACCTTGTCCGGTTATTATGTTGACGGTAGGTCTAGAGACGCGCACTCTCGACGGCAAAGCAGCCATAACCTGATGTGACGCCCAAGCGCTAGATCTCCTCCACTCAGAACGTTACTCAATTATGCAGAAACTATCCTTATGCACAGATATCAGTCAAAAGCAAATGTGACGAAGCCCGGAGCAAGGTCGAAATGCTGCAGCTGTATCGGGTCTCTAATCAAATGCCCGCTGAAACATGCTCTTCTTTCCTGCCAGCTCTTGAACGCCAAGCCCGAGAACGTGGAGCGCGAGGCCGAAATTGTGGCGCAAAGTGGTCGGCGAGGCGCGGTCACGATTGCGACCAACATGGCAGGGCGAGGGACGGATATCATTCTGGGGGGGAACGCAGAGTACATGGCCAAGCTGAAGCTGAGGGAGGTCCTCATGCCCAAGTGAGCAAACCGAACAACATGCGATTATTGGCGGTTGAATCGAGGCGAAAGGCAGTTTATGTGGCTGCTTTCTGAGGCCTCGTTTTGGCTCGAAATGAGCTGTTGGACCGCCTTCAACAGGTCCATGTACTTCTGAGAAATTTGTCGGAAAGATGTAAGACAGTTGATTTCGATTCTTAGAAAGAGACGCTCTTTCTGGATTGTTTAAGTAAGACTAGAAGAGACGTGCGGAACTGATCGTGTTGACGCGTGCAGGGTGGTGCGGATAAACGACGAGGAGCTGCCCAATCTGCGGGGCAAGAGGATGATCATCCGGTCGTGGCGGGTGAGCAGGCCGAGTTCACAATTTCAAACACGAGAGTTCTGTTTGAAAATTCATTGGGTTTTAAAAATCCAATGGTTTGCTCAGTCATGGCAGAAGATGAGGGATTGGGTCCAAGCACTGAAGCAATGGCAGTTCGCAAGCAGTGTCCGGTTGGATGAAGACTCTCCTGTGCTTGTGGAACTTATCTCGCGGCTTGGACAATGTCAAGTGGACAAGCGAACTGGTACTGGAGTGGAAACAGCGTTTTCGGTCTGTTCAGAAAGAAAGCTTTCACGATCGTGCTGCCAGGGAGTCGTCCTTTTGGTGTCTCCAAACAGCAATCCGCTCCTTCGTATTCTGTCCCAGACATCGAGGAGCGAGACTTCGGTTCACCTTTGCAGCACAGAAAACTCTCTTCCGTAGACCCGTTCCAAGGGCAAATTATTACAACTGGAGGGTTTGTCCAGTGTAGCTGTCAGATGACAATTTCGCCCCTGTCTGGAAGGTTTTGCCCTTAACCACAACTGGTTTGAGAGCATCGTGCAGATGTGGATTACGCTTTCCTTGGTAGAAGGGCACTAACGCAACCAGAAACCGAAGTGGGTTAACGCTGATCTCTTACCTGTGTTTCGCAGACGTCCCCCGACCTGTACCCCGCTAAGCTGAAACCCGAAACGTTGGCCCTCGCCGAAGAGGCGGCCAAAGCTGCGGAAGAGGCGTGGGGCACAAAAGCAGTGCCGGAACTAGAGGCGGAGGAACGCCTCTCGATTGCGGCGGAAAGGGTGAGGCCGCCTTGCCTGTATTTGCGCTGTACGTCTAGTCCACAAACAAAGATCGTGCGGAAGGAGAGTCTTGTTTTAAGGTCAGAATTGTGCGCCTGAGATTAGAGATGGACAGTGGAGCGTTGCTCGGGCGACTGTTGAAGGAAGAGCTCGCAAAGTCAAAAAGGCATGGAGGAAAGGAGGTACTGATCCGAGCTGACAGGGCTGTCTCGTGCACCATCTGCTTTGTGCTTTTTTACCTTGTCACCCAAGGCCGTTATTTCCCCTTCACGAGTACGCTACGAATGTCTAGGTTACTCGGATACCCCTCGCTTCTCAACAGGACGAATAGAACGCCCTACAAGATGTTCGTCCTTGTGCCCTCGTTCTTTCGCAAATTCCACTCTCTCGTTATGCCGCAGGCGCCGACGTCGGACCCAGTGATTGCGAAGCTGCGCGAGGCGTTCAATGCGATGGAGGCCGAGTTCAAGACGTATACGGACAAAGAGAAAGAGGAGGTCATCAAGCTGGGGGGATTGCACGTTGTAGGAACGGAGCGCCACGAGTCGCGGCGTATTGACAACCAGGTACGAAGCGGTCGGGGCACTTCTACTTCTGGGCTATCTCGCGGCCTTGTTGGGTGACTACTTTCAATCCGTTTGTGCATCGTTTGGGTTAGAGGTTTTCCTCGGAGTGCATGCTCTGGTCGGAAAGTAGGTTGAGAAGAAGTGCATGTTGACGGATGACCTTCTTCTGCTGAGGTGAGTTGAGCCGGTTGGCGCCGACCTGCTTGACCCTGTTCGCCCCCCCATCACTACAATCAACTCAGTGGACAAGTCGCTGTGCGCCTCATATTGCATCCTTGGCTGAAGTCCATCTGTAGGGTAACGCGTTCTCCAAAACCGCACGCATTCCTCAAGTTAACATCGAGCTCCCTGGATATCCATGCTCGGCTTCCCCGCTCTCGTTGCAGCTGCGGGGCCGTTGCGGGCGGCAGGCGATTCTGGCAGCACTTGTTACTCCCCATTTGCTGGTGTTAAAATGCTTTTGCTGCAGAGTGGTTTAGTTCAGAACGGAACGAGCGGCGGATCCTCTGTGCTAACTTTCTCCTCACTCTCGTTGCAGCTGCGGGGCCGCAGCGGGCGGCAGGGCGACCCCGGGAGCACGCGCTACTTCTTGTCGTTGGAGGACAACTTGTTCCGCGTGTTTGGCGGCGACCGCATGAAGAACCTCATGACCGCGTTCCGCATCGACGACCTGCCGCTCGAGTCGCGCATGCTCACCTCCAGCCTGGACGAGGCGCAGAAGAAGGTCGAGCAGTACTACTACGAGCTCAGGTGCGGGCTGGGTTCGGGTTTTAGCTTGCGTTTGAGTTTCGGATCTTGGTCTTGGGCTTTTGTGTCATGATTTTGGGTTTTTAGGTTGGAAGTGTTCGCAGAAGAAGGTTGAGCAGTACTCCGACAAGCTCAGGTGCGGGCTCGGTTCTGGTCTGGGTCGCCTTTTGAGAGGTAATCTTGGCATTTGAAAGAGTTTGAGCTTGCGAAGATGGGCTTGGGGCGCAGAAGAAGGTCGAGCAGTATCGTTACGAGCTGAGGTGCTTCAGCATTGAGGTCTAGGGGCTTATGTTTCAGTGGTTGGTGCCAAGGAGACGATGCAAGATGATGAGGTATTTTTGTCGATAGGAGCCGTTTGCACTGGTCCAACTTAAGCTGCGGGGCCTTTCTCCGGTTTGATTTGCGTAGGCGACTGGGCATTTTGCACGAGAAGCGAAGTTCGAGGCGGAAACAGGAGGCCCTTCCTGTTGATTCGCGAGCTGTTGAGATTCGTAACCCAATATGAATCTGACAACCGTTCCTCGGACAGTTGAGACACTGTCTTGACGGAGCTGCCCCGCTGTCCAAGCCCGTCTTTGTCACCTTCTTGATTCGTAATTCAGCCTTACTAAGTGATTGACCATCCACCGTGATTTTAATCCGCTACAGGAAGCAGCTGTTCGAGTACGACGAGGTGCTCAACAGCCAGCGCGAAAAGGTGTACGCGGACCGCCGCCAAGCGCTTGTCGCGGAGAGCCTGGAGGGCCAGATGATTGGCTACGCGGAGCGGACCATGGACGACATTCTGGAGGCCAATATTGACCCCACGCTGCCGCGCGACCAGTGGCCCATGGAACCGCTCGTCGGGAAACTGATCCAGTGAGTGGGCATCGAGATTCTGTCCGTGGTTACAGGCGGCAAGCTCACCCACTCGATGACTTAGCGTTCTCTCTTCTCGTCGCTCTCGCACGAGGTCGAAGATGAATGAGCTTCTTACGAGGTTGTGTGCCGAGCGCCACTGCAAGTCGAAACCAGAATCCACTTGAACGTAAACCAGATGAGCTTTGGAAACACACGTGTTGTGAATCCTGAGTGTCGTGGCATGCCTTAAGCTGCACACTGCGGATTTAAATGTGGGCGGCCCTCTCTGAGCATATAGACTTTGCCCAAGCAAGGACGGGAAGAAATTCTGCTTTCATTGATCAGCTCTGCCTCTACGAGTTGCCTGAACAGAACAAGCTCGATTGAAACACCACCGTCTCAGAAACTGTAAATTCCTCGCCCCAGGTATTGCTGGATGCTGGAGGATCTTACTCCCGAGCTGCTCAACGAGTACTGCCCGACTTACGATAGCCTGCGCGACTACTTGCGCGAGCTGAGCCGCAACGCGTACCTAGAGAAGCGGCGCGCGGTGGAGGAGCTGAAGCCGGGGCTCATGGACCAGGCGGAGCGTTTCTTCGTGCTGAGCCAGACGGACAACCTGTGGAAGGAGCACCTGCAAGCCATCAAGTTCGTGCAGCAGGTGAGCGCCACGTGGCAGGGCAGGAGAAGGTAGAAGAGGAAAAGTCACACTAGGAGGAAGGGCCGGGGGGAACGGGCGGCAAAGAAAAGTAGGCAGTGTTGGAAGTGGGTACGAAGAGATTGCGGAAGCGGGCCTTAAAGAATAAGCTCAGTAGAGAGGAGATATCGTGGGACTCGAAGGACAGCTCTGGTGAAAGTTGGGTTGATCGGTCTGAAGTGCCGTCATTGCAGTGCACGACCTCGTTGATCTTTTGAGGAGACAGATTTTTTGAGTGTTTGATTCTTACTGCCAGTCTGCAAATTGCATTTCTGCTGCTACGTCGAAACTCCCCGCGTCAGGTCGGTTCGTTTCGGCTCGGCGACTGTCCATTTTCATCGTGGCCTTTCTGCGGGTTAGTGACACATGGGCGATTTCTTACAGGCGGTCGGCTTGCGCGGGTACGGCCAGAAGGACCCGTTGATCGAGTACAAGCTGGAGGGGTATAACCTCTTCCTCGAAATGATGGCGCAAATTAGACGGAACGTCATCTACTCGGTCTATCAGGTAAGCGCTTTGAGAAGCTGCCGTCCTTCTGGGGTCTTCGAACGAGTAGTTGATCCTTGATGTGATTGTGATGGCTGCGATGAGCTTATCTTGACCCGCTTCTCCAAGCGGTTGCTTCACCAATGCCAGCTCAGCCGCGAACAAACGCCAAAAATCGGAGCTGTGCAAAGCTTGTCTGGTCGATTGATCAAATTTTCAAGGGCTACCGTCAAAGCATTCCTGCATTCGCTGCATTTTCTCTTTGGTTGTTTCCTTTTTTTGAGATGCCTCGGGACTGCTATGAAGAGCGTCTTGGTAGGTGGCATGCCTTCGCGACTGCTTTTTGAAGGAAAACTTCAACGCAGACGACAATAGGCAGGGACTGATTCTTCACAACGACCACTTTGTATTGCAGTTCCAGCCGGTCATTCAAAAGAACGAGGACGGCTCTACGGAGCTTGCATCCAAGCCGTCCACAGAGGGGTCGGAAGAGGAAACAGCCATCGAGCAACCTGTAGCTGCCACAAATGGAGCCGCCGCCAATGGCGTAAGTGAAAAGGTGGCAGTAGTGGCCGCTGCATCCGGGGCTCGGCAAGGCGCCCCTGTGGGGGGCCGGCAACCAAAGGGGAAGGGCAGGTCAAAAAGGCGGTAGCTTTTCCAATTTGTCGATTATTGCCGATCATTCGGACTTTTTGATTGGTTTGAGTTGAGATGAGATATGAGGGTGTCGAATTTAAGGTTGTTTCATGCTCAAGATTTGGAAGGTCGTGTTATATAGCCGACAATTCCGAAACGCTTCCGATCAGTCGCATTCAATATTGGCATGCGTGCTTCGAGAGATCGGATCAGGCACGGTGTTGATACATCAAAGTTATTTGATGTCCGGTTGAGGAAGTATGCCTTCGACGAGGCTTTCCCAATCGAGCATGAACTTGATACGATCAACCGCAAGGAAACCATTCCTGAGCCTGAGGGTAGTGGATCGTGGGTCATGGGGCATTAGGATCAGCTACGACATGTGGACGTGACGGTCGCCCTAACGATTTTGCATCGAACTAAGCCTCATAAATTCCATCAGAATGGTGGTGCTGGATGATGCCAATTGTCTTGATTCATTCTTGTATACCATTTCCGGGAAGATAATGAGAGGCGTCATTACGTGGTCGAGATCATCTCATGTAGACTTCACCAATCAGATAGCTAGGTACCCAAAGATCCGCACTCGGCTGCATATATTAGCATTCTGGACGCACCAGTTTGTACTAGTTGCAAGTTGCCATCCGACGCGCCGCTTTCGATCTTTACTAGCGAAACATGCCAGATTCTTCGTGTGCACGCGTTAACGAATTCTTGGATGAATGTGAGAGCTAGTCGTATCGCAGGCATGGTCTGCACGGTGCTGGCTACCTCATACGTAGCACGTAGCAATTCTGCGGTTAAACTCTGGGGTTACGTAAGTCAGGATACTGTTGTGGAGTACGTCTACATCGTCTACATAGGTACGGTAGTCCAGACCTGTTGCTGGTCAGGACTCAGCAGTGATTTTAACACGCCTTCCCTGGCTGTACGGACATTCCGCTCTTGGCGGTGGACAATGACAGACATGTGCTCGGAGCAAACGTGATTGGTCGACGGGATTTTTCAGCAACGACCTCATATCATTGTTGACCACCTACCCGGTGCTCATCCAAGTCCAGCCCGGCCACCTACCGGGAGCTTCTCCTTGACACTCGAAATTCGGACATAACCTCGACGCCTCTGAAACCGCAGAAGCACTCGCCCCGGCCGGGCTGCCCGGAAATGTTTGGGTACAAGTTCTCAGGTTTTCAGATAAGTACGACACGTAAGCATCCGATGTGGCAGTAAATATCATGCCCATCGCAATGATTGTGAAGGTCCGAGACTACGGCACCTGTGTCTAGCAGAGCGGGGACAAGGAGAATCGGTACCGGACGGAAGCTAAGGCTGCGGCCTGTTGGATTTGGGGTTATGTCAAACCCAAAGTTGGACTCTCTGGTTCTGAAGCGTCAGATCTTCTGGGATTGATTATCCGACGGCTGCGGTGCACATCGCCTACATCTCAGAGTTAGGTTTCCAAACGCATCTCAAGCCGTCGGATTGTGTGTAGCGGACATCTGAACGCCCAATCGTCGACAAGAAGACACAGGAAAGTAAGCTGACGTCACTGTTGAGAGTTCCAACAGCCCCCAGCCTTAGCTTCCGTCCGGTACCGATTCTCCTTGTCCCCGCTCTAGCAGTTCGTGAATCGTGACTGCCCTGACTCAGGGCCTGAGCCTCAGACTCAAGAGTCATGGTGGCGCTGTGCTGCACCATGCTAGGTAGCTAGGAATGCTTTCGGTGAGGAGACACCACACCTCAAGTGCAGTGGTTCGCAGCTCAACATTCTCTGCTCAAATTCTCTGCTCCCTCCCATTCTATTCCAAGCTGCAACTCTGGATACAATCGAATTAGCTGCCAAGCTGCATACCTACCAGCGCTCAATAAGTAGCGTCGCACAGTTCTGTTAGGACTTTTACTCACCCTTCACTGATTTTTGAAGGTTGCTTCGCACAGACATGGGTCTCCTTGACAGTTTCAAGAAGTACAGCCACGGGCACTGGGACCATGGCAATGAAAGTCCCGGCCTGAGCTCGGAGCAGAGGCAACAAATGGGGGCTCCTCAACAGGCTGATGGTAAGGTGCATTTGGTTTGGCTGTCGCTATGTTTGGGAGCTCGCAGTCTTGTGAAAGCACGACGTTCCGTGATTGGGCCATGATTTTAAGTCCAACGCTTTCATGTTAGTATGCTATTGCGGGAGGAGCAAGTATTGCAGCTACAGTGCTATCTTTGATGCAATGCGCGGCAGTTGAGCCAGTCTTTCACCCAACAATCTTACAGCGTCACTGTTATTTGGCAGGCATCTATGTAGTCAACTTATCTCATGCACGTGGCGTTTGTACCCTGACTCAAAAAGCAGAAATATGCGTTCACATTGGAAGCTGGTGCCCAATGCACTTGTCAGAGTCTTCGCTTCTGTCCTTGACTTATGGAGTGTCAGCTAGACATTCAACAGTCCCGCCAATGTGTTTTCATCTTCGTGCATTCTGCACTTCACTGTTCTGACCTCCCCCCAAGTGACCCTACTTGGCCAGCACCTTTTCACTTTGAAATGTAGCTCAACCAGAGACAGTTAAGCTGGGGGGACACATTGCCTGATTCCCGTTGAACCCCAAAGGCATCTTGATGAGACAGGGGAGTTTCATGTGTCATTGATCCTTTGCTCTTGAAGTTGGAAGCTATATTTAGCTTGTTTAAGCTCCTTCTTAAGGTACGACCGTCCCTTCACATCTACAACTCCTCTTTGAAACCCTCAAGAAAACACGTCATCTCCATTTTGCAGCCCAAAACGACGAGGCGGAGCGCCAGCTGCAGCGGCGCAACAGCCACGAGGGCGCAACGCAGGAGCGGGAGGCGCGCCAGGTGGTCCAGGCGGCTGCGCTGGACATCCCCAAGCAGAAGACGTTCCAGAAGACCCTCAGCATGCCCGCCTCGTACGGAGGGCCGTTTGGGTCGCCCTCGTCCCCCACAAGCCCCAATGCATCAGGCAGCCCTTCGTCAGGTCAGTGCTTTGGAGGACCAGGTTTGCCATGATCATGCTGGTTTGAGTCGCGGGGCGGTTCTGGGTCAGCTTTATGAGGTATACTGGCATTGCTTTTGTTTCCAGAGTGTCTCAGCTATTCTCAGGCTGATTTGACAAACGCTTGAGCTGCTCTCCAGCTGTCTCAGCTGGAGCTGGGTACCTTTCTTGGAGTGGTTGTGAGGAAGCTGGACGCTTGCCAAATAAGGTGACCGTTTTCTCAGGGGCTTCTCACCAGTTTCAAGTAGCGAGGGCTCCAGTGAAGCCAACAACAGGAGCGTGTCTGATCCATTTGCTTACTTCTGCCCCGCAGTGTCCCCACGTGTTCGTGACAATGTGTGGCACAGCGTTTTCCACCCTGGGCGCAACCCATCCATGAAGAAGGAAGGGGCGACCAAGTTCGACAACGCACATAGCAGCGCAAAAGGCATATATGACTGGTGAGTTTTACTGTTGCAAAGATCGATTCGTGTTTGCCTTACTTCCTTTGCATTTTTGACTTTGAGATCGAGCCATCTGGTTGGATCAGAGGCAGAGCCTTTCACCCTGGTCTTTAATTGCGCTACGAAGGAGTCTCGAACCAAGTTAAAGCAAGAGTTTGTGCGAAAGGCTTGTCATTGCCAAGGAACTGATGAGAGTGTTCTCATAGGAAAGGCTTTTTTCAGAAGTCGCTCTTGTGAGTACTTGGCTCAGGCTAGCATCTGGAAGATTTGAAAGTCGTTCGATCACTGGCACCTCACAAGCATGCCCTTGTGGTGGTTGTAGGTGGGAAGCATCTCCCTGAATCCCGGCTCAGAACTTTGTGGCAGATGTTTTTCGAGTATAGGAATCAGGTTATAGTGGCGCAGTGTTTGAAACTAAGAGAGGCTGCATGACATGTTGTATAGGCAAGGTACCCTTGCACTGCTCTTATAATGACAGAACTCTGCACAGAAGTGGCAAGGAAAGGCCCACTCTTGAAGTAGGAGTGCAGTCAGTCTGAGGGTTTATGGCTCAGGGTTATAGCAAGAATCGCGTCAAACTTCTTCAATGGGTAGCATCTTTAGAAGGCTGGCTTTAGCTAACAACACTCTGACTTGTCACTGAACCTAGAAACAAACTTGTACAACGGAATAGAGCTCTGTGTCTGATGTCCAAAGGCAGTGTAGAAGTCAAACACCTCTGGTCCTGCTACATTGCAGGATGTACATGGAGGATGGTTCAACAAGGTCCAAGCACCAGTAGAGCTTGGCTACTTGTCTAACCTAAGCTTGTACAGCGCTTCTTTCTGTACAAAGGTCGAAGCAAGAAGCTTCTTGTAATCTATGAAGGACCTCAGCACTAACCTAGGGGGTTTCCTGTGTTTGTCCTAACTGTAATCTGTGACAACTTTGAAAAGCTTGTTTTAGCTTCGAGGGATGCCAGTGAGTTTTGAAGACTCAATGGTTTCAAGTTTGGTATCCTAGTTGACTGTCAGGAACCCTTTAGACAAAGTGAGTAGTGAGATCGTTGCGGAAGAAGCTTATACATAACATGGTGTGTGTCTGCACTTTTGTAGCAAGGGACCTTCTAGTCAATTTGTGTAGGAGGTTAGCTGGGCGTAGCTAGCTTTGCGGAAAGTCCTGGGCAGCTAGACGTACCGTCGGGTTAGACCCCAGAAACCCGATCAAGGTCTTGGTTTCCAATCGGCCCAGTCAGCCTGCTTGCAGCTCAACAGGTAGCTGTGAAGCAATAATGACCGAGTGCAAACTCGGGAGAGTCCACAACGCTGCCTCATTTCATTCATGGTCGAAATCCTCAGCAGAATCTTGCATGCATGGCCATGCATGGCCGAATATGCAGTAGACTTCCAACTCTCGATGTGCGCGCTGATCGAAGTACCCTCCACATGCCGCCAATGCTTCAACTTACACAAGTACAAAGCAAGCTTGCGTTACTATTCAGATTCGATATGCATGGCTTTTGAAATAAATGCAGAATATGGTTGAAACTGAGAAGTGGTTTTGCATGGCCGGTAATAGCTGAGCTCTCCATTGAATGCCATGCCATGATACAGCCCGGGGGGTTGGCTCATGCATAACACGTAGTTGCTGCATACATTACTAATACGTGGCTACGCATTCTGCACTTGACAGCTTCAAAATTGCACATGGCGATCACGATCGACGCGGCCGCCCAAACGCGCGATGTGTTCAAGTTGATCGGATTGTGATGTTCTCTTTTCAAACGTCGTAGCCACATGGGCCATAGGCTTCAGGACTAGTTTGGTAGTGTTGATTCGGTGTACTACGGACCTCTGCCAGGTAGGTAGGCATAGGCTATAGTAAGCAGCAAAGGAAAACACACACTCTCATACATGTATGCCTTGAGAAGCCTGTGGCCTATTTAGCTATAGCGAGAACGAAAAGAGACCATCAATGATGGTCTCTTTTCGTAACGCCATAGCCAGTGCGGCCATAAGCTACTGATATTAAGCACAATCAACGTCGGTCTTAGACGCCAACAGCCTAGTTATCGAAATATAAGACACGTCGGTATAAAATGTGTGCCCCAATGAACGGGCCAGTGGTAGTTGTCACACTCTCCTTGCTGCTTTGTAGAGATTCAATGCTCACATACGATTTTGCGGTAAATTTCGTATGCATATGCCATTGCTATAACCATGCAGATAAACATACGTGAGCAAAAGTCACGAGCCGTCAGAAACCTAAGGATTGACTTTGAACACGATCCCGGCCTTCTTAAAGAGGGCGTCGGGGGACCGGTCCCACCTCCGGCGACCAGATAGCGCGCTACACACTTGGTCGCTGAGGGCGATTTCCAGAATTGAATCTGGGCCGTCAGATGACAATTTCCCTCAGGATTCAGATGCACAAGTGTACCTTGAAATCTGACGCCCTCTTTAAGACCCGGGCCAACTGTGGATTTCTGCACGATTAAACAATTGGCGCTGGACATCTGACAGCGAGCGTGCGGTTAGTAAGCAATAGCAATGACGATTACAGGCGCAACTGTACAATTTCGCAATGAGCCATCCTCCGCTTGCTCCCAAGAAGCTCCTGTAACATGCATACAGAGGATTGTCAGAACCACACCCGCGACCCAATTCTGTGAGCGACTACGGCAAACGTCCAGCTTACATTCGAGTCGCAGAGATCTTTCCATCACTTGCTTCAAGGACTTCACGCGTTGCGCAACAATTCTGCCTGCATCCGCCATATCAAATCACGCTGCTCAGCTTCAAGCAGACACAAAGTCGCCAAACAGTTGACCGTTGACAGAGTAAACAGAATTCTGGTGGCCCTCGACTTTACCTTTACCTTGAGGCGTCGTCGTCGAAAAGCGTCGAAGCTACTCTCTCAAGTTCCGTAGTATCCGAATGTTCCACATCCGGCATTCTCAATTCCGTCTACATTCCTTCGGGCCTTGTCACCGCCAGCCACAAACCTTAGGCGTTGCTTCTTACAAGTTGGACAGAATACTTACTGGGCCTGCTCGCTTATGACTACATAATGGGAGTCCAGGAGACAGAACCCTCGAGGATGTGACGTCACGCTCACCCGAAAGAAGGTCGAGTGGCCGATGACCACAAGCGTCCTCTCCGGCCGCTGCAGGAGATACGCCCGGAACCGCTGCACCCTCTCTCGAAGATGAACTGCCCAATATGAAGGGCAAAACAAATTCAGATGAACTTCTTGGACTTTCTCCATGAAGCACGTGCGGGATCAACAACGTTCTAGCGGTTTGTCCTTTCCAGCCCGGCAACCTGCCTTGTCTAGATGCAGTCATTCCTTTCCAAGAAAGCTGTTGAGATGCCTACTCTCCATTGAACGATTTTGCCGGAACATGTTCCTGAGCCGCTTATCGTAGTTACAAATTCGTCATCTATGCGATGATGCCAAATGTGACGGTGCATGGTGGTATTGCAAAAAATGACGGTGCAGATGCCCTTCCAGCCCTACAGTACCATTGACTTCCCAGAGAAGCGTCTTTCAGAGCAGCACGCCTCCAAACGAGAAAGACCGCGTCCCTCACCCATGCTTTCCCTGCTTAGGAAGGTCCCCGAGAGCGCGTGGTTGGGCGCGCCAGCAGGAGAGTACCACCAGACGGACTGCACCCGAGAGAGGTCGAACGCCAGAAACTCCGCAGCGAGGACCTGGGCCGGGAGAAGGGCCAGTCAGCAACTATAACGGGTCGACAATGGAGAGGAAGCTGGGGCTCGATGTACAAAGTAACTGCTGGAACGTCCCTTTTCGAAGTGTAGATTTGCTCAACTGTCTCTACCCGTCGAAGAAAGAGAAAGTGACAAGTAGCTTCAATGCTGCTCCAGTCAAGGCGGTCACAAGAGGTGACCTCAGCCCTGCGTCTTAAGAGCTGCCATACCTGATAAGAAGCCCGAAGATTTATGTAGGAACTTTTAGGCGACAATCTTCAGAATTGCTGCTGTCATCAAACCTTCCAACGCAGTAAAAGGGCTTTGGGTAGTGATCAGATAACGTCGTCGAAAGTAGGCGATGCCTGTGATCCGCAACAGAAACGGCGCAAAGTCTAGACGACAATCGGATCCAAACGTTGCTTTGGTTTGGGTGAAACAAGTCATAAGCAGTCTCCGTCAGTGAGCTGCATCAACCTTCTTCGCATTAGTCGCGTCATTCTCGTTGCTCAGGAACGAATGGTTCAGCAGAGTGCGACGTGCGGCTCCATCAGAGAACAACGGCGGCACTCACGCTGGGTGGCCTTCCGACATCTCCACAGCAGGCCACGTGTTCGGCGTGCCTCGACGTCACCTCGACCGGCACCTGCTATGTTTGGCGAGTAGGATTCAGTCTACGTGGTACCAGAAACGCGACGCAGGAAGAAACATTGAAACCAAGGGGTTCGACCGCATTTTGGCCTCAAAAGAACGACATTCAAAGCGACTTGTCAATTACAAACAGAGGTAGATGGACAACTGCAAGCATCAGCACTGACGCATTTGTGACACGTCAATCCTTATTCCTGCTCGTTCGCACGAGCCTTCAAACTTTCCTCCCTTTGTTATACATTCAAGACCTCGAGTTGTCTTAATTTACTCACCTGCAAGCTGCCAAGCGCTTCTTGACACGTTTGCAGTGCCCTTGTCAGAGGTGACACTAGAATCTGCACCAAAATGTACACGTAAGCAGCGACTTCCTTATTCCGAGAAAAAGAGCCGATGATACAGAAGGACAACTTTTCGAACCCCCCAGTCTTTGTGAATCAGGGGGCAAAAGCTTGTCACCCGCAGTCACAGAGACGGTCTAATGCGACACCATGAGGCGTCTCGACCAGCCTTTTCGAGTCCTTAAAATAACTGATTCAGATTGTCAAGTTTGCGATTCCAGGACGACGTAGGCCAGTACCTCACCCAACAACAAGCGCAAAGAATATGATCGGCAACACTCAGCCTTCGATCACTCGCAAAAGACCACAGCAAATAGACAGGATCCACATTCTCAAAGAATTCCACAAGACCACAGTAAACCAACAGGGCTTAAACTCGATTTCAAGGATGTCGTCAAATTGTCGACTAGGTGATGATCGAGCAGACCATGTCAATAAGAATTCTTATACTCACAACTTCAGCTTTCAACCCTGGCAGCTTCTTCTGCAAGGCCGCCGCTTGCTTGAATCCAAGAGTCGAGAGGGGCACATCAAAGATGCGCCCTGAACTGTCTGTTCGCGCCGCAACCCCGCTGGCCGTCGCTTCAGAACCAATCTCGTCTTGAATATTGAAGGGCCGGAAAGCAGCCCCTGAGTTCGTCATCGTGTTGCCATGCCGGATAAGGTAGACGACCTGTCAAGGCAGCGGAATTGCGAGCGTTGGCTCAACTAGCATATGGCGCACAATCTCAACAACCTCAGATGTCAGCGTTGCGTTTCAACTGATTAAGTAGGAGGACGCAGTAACATGTTGAAGGATGGCCGTCAGTCAACAAACAAAGAAGGACCAAGCTCAAAACGATGGCTTCTGGCCAAGGTCCTTTATGCTTTCAAGCTCCATAGAGGTTTGTTTAGAGCACCTTGTCAAAGTCAAAAAAAATCAGAAGAGAGGTGCTGTACAGCCATGTTCTTGATGTATTAGCAAGTAACAATCTTGGCTTCTAAGCTTGAACCTTGAAAGAGTTGGATTGGAGCTCTTACCTTGTTTGGCTTCTTAAAGATGGGGGCAATAACCTTTGTTGTGCCTTTCTCAACCGCTTTTGGATTCTCTTCTAGCATCTCTGTGCTGTCTACGCCAACGAGAATGTCCTGGTTCTCAGAAACGCTACCTAGACCTGACTCTGTCGGCAGGTTTAGGGAAACCATGGACGAAGGGCTTTGTTGCAAGTGACCAGTGCCCTCCCTGGCTTCCGCCAAACCAGTTGTCTCTGGCCGTTGGAGATTGCTTTCTGACACCCCATTTTGATGTTGGGGGCCTGCTTTTGAGCTGAAGATTGCACTGTCATAGAGGTTGCAATCAGATGCTTCCTTCCGCTCTACAATCAGACCAGACTGCCCCTCCCCTGTATTTCCTGATCTAGATTCCAGTGTTGTTTTTGCGCCCATGCCTGGTTCTTCTCCAGTGGAACTTGCGGCTCCATTTTCTATCCGCTGAAGATGAGAGCACTCAACAACTCCCCCTCCCGACGCCTCCCCCAGCTCCCCATCTGGACTTTGTACCTGCCCTCCTTTGAGCAAACTTATTACCACCTTCTGCTTCTTTGAACTTGGCTTCCCATTCAACAGGTCTGCAGCATTGTGTTTTGTGTTCACCTCTGTCGCCCCTCTTTTCTTGATTCTATCCTCTCCACAAGTGCCCTGATTGCTTTCTCCCCGTGCTGTTGCCACTACGGTGGCGTCTTTCTCTGGTGTTGTCAGGCAAGTGTTCAAGTGCTCATGTACTAAAGCAACAGCCACGTTTCTGCCGCACACAGGACAGGGAGCAAAGCGGCTGCCGCCGCTGTTTGCTACTTTACCACCATTTGCCGCTTGCTTAGACTTTTTGCTGCTGCCCATCTTCGCATGCATGATCCTTTCAATTTGCAATGACGCCTTGCTCTCCCAGCTACTACCTACCGCACTTCACGAGTTCTCTCTCCATCCCAAGCTGCCCCTTGATGGGGACACTTTTATGACAAGGATACGCCGGGTACATGCTGACCTCTCAAGTTGAGTCCACCGGTCATATGGACAAATAAAAGCTGTAAGAATGGTGTCTATCGATTTGATGTGGGCTCTCAAAGGCTGAACCGGAGAA